GGAAGAGGGACGGGGTGAGGGAGGTGAAGTGTAAATAGAGTGTGAGGGATGTGAGGGGCGAGGGGATATGGAAACGTCAAGGGCAAGAAGTATGGCACCAAGGAAGGGAGGCATAGAACAGTGTGAGATCGGCAGTAAATGTTGGGAGAATTGTACCAGTTGCAGATAGATGAGAAGTGGCATGGGAACATTCAACTTTTGGAGATGAACCAAGTGGGACAGGAAGTAATCAGGCCAGGAAGAGTAGAGGTAAATTTTGGGAGAAGCAGAGTTGTGTAGATTCATGGTTGTGGGCTAGAGAGTATGGTATGAGATGTGGTTTCAGAAGGGTCTAAGTTCATAAAACACTATCCAGTTAGTGCTCCTTGATAAATGTTGGGAATGTTGAGCATGGACTACAATGTAGGAAGAATACGGACTTGGAGTGGACAGAATGGGTCAGGATGTAGGTCAAGGATCTAGAGAGAGATATTTCAACAAGTGACTGCTTTATTACTCCCAGCTTTAATTCATTACATCCTTGTCCTAGCTGTAAGCATTGCCTCTTCTCTGTGCCTGCTCTTGGATTCTGGGTTCCTGACCTTTCCTAGAACATCAAGCGTATAGTCCTTAGTGACGATGATGAAATGAACTGCTGTGGATCTGGAGGCCTTGTCCCTAGGGTTAGCTTTGCTGTGATTCCCAGGAGGCTGATTATTGACTGCTTCCCTGTTTCCTCTGCCTCCACACAGGGACCAAGGCATCCTTTCTAGCTTTAAGAATTATGCACCAGAGAGAACAACTGGGTGACAACAAGAACCACCATTCAACTTAAGACTGCTGTCCTTTGCTCAGTACTTCAAGCTCCTTGCTTTTAGTACCCACTGTCTCCAGTGTTAGCCCGAGAGTCCTGCTTGGCAGGGAAGCTGTGGCAGGTGGGAGGAGAGAAGGCAGTGAGGCAGAAACAGCTGCCAGCCAGAGTGGAGGAAGAGCAGATCCCAGTGGGATTGGATAGAAGGCAAGGTGCTGGCTTTGGCAGCCCCATCCTCTCCCTCTGTGGGGAAGTTGAGGTCAAACCTCCCTCCCCAGCGTCTCCCATCCAATGCTACTGATCAGGGTGCAGGCTCTGCTCTAATGTCTAATCTCTGGACTGAAGCAGATCTCTGAGGTCACCTGATCCAATTCTTTCCTCCAAAACAATACAGTCCTAGAGTCATCTCCATGGCATTTTCACCCAGCAGTCCACTTGTATTAGTCCAGATACTTCCTGTGGACAGGAGCTCTAAGGCACTCTGTTCCTTCTTTGCAACTAAAAACACAAGGGAGAATCTCTGATGTGATAAGCCTAAATACTGTACAGACTTCTCATTAATAATGAACTGATGGGACTTTTTCTGATTAATGATCCCCATTTGACTGATGAAAATAGTGAGGAGGTTCAGAGAGTTGAGGTTCATAGGTTCAAGGTTACACTTGTAAGAAGTGAAATCTAGGTTGGAATGCAGGACTTTCTGTGAAGTCTCTTGGGACCAATCAAGACATGCAGCTTTTATACAAGGACAACCCTTTTGAGAAGAGAAATCTGAGGCCATATATTCCCGAGTCCCCTTTTTTCCAAGTCAAACTCCTTTAAGTGTCTCCAGAGAATTCAGGTTCTAGCCTCCTTGTCAACCTCATCAGTTGATATGTCCCAGTATCAAACATGCAGGCTGCCAGGTGGGTGTCAGTCTGGAGTGGAACTGCACTATCCCCTCCTTCAACTAGCTGATTAGTGCAGCTAATGGCTGCCAAAAGAGCTGACACTGTCCCTCCTCTTGGGCCTTTCAGCCTTCTTAGAGGAATAGCTGTGAGAAAAGAAACCAGAGTTTGCTCCTGTGCCCTTATTCTCTTCACCCTGAGTGTTCTGAATTGAGAGGAGGAAAGACACAGAAGTAGGAGAGGCAATCAGCAGGCAGGGACATGGCAAGATTAGGAGGATGAAGATGTGGGAGGGGATTTTATGGTAACTCTAGGCAAGGCCAAGGGAGTGATTGTGTGTGTGTGTGTGTGTGTGTGTGTGTGTAGTAGGGGATTCACAGAGAGTTAAGGAAGTGACAGGGTATGGCCATCGGACCTAGGAGAGGCCAGTATGGGGATGGGCATTGGCCCGGGTTAGCCTCATCTCTCTGCTGTGTGAGAGGAAGTCAGTCGCACATTAAGGAAATGTTGCAGCTAGTACTAAATTGGGAGGTGTCACAGGCAGCAGTGAGGACTGTATGATTTGTGGGGCCCTGTGTGTCCCAAAACAGGGGCAGACATCTCAGAGGCAGAGAATGGGGTTTCTAGGGCCACACAGGAAGGATCTGACTGAAGCACTCAAAACAAGGGCCCTGGGGGTAGGGGGACACCTGGCTCAAGAACCAGTCTCCACAGTTGGTTTACAGACGTGGGAGAAACATTTTCATCCTCCTAGGACGTCAAACTCTCACTTAAGAGGATTCCAGATGTGGTACATTATCTTCATGGGATCCCATTTGAGGCGTGGGCTGAAAAGGAGGGCTCTGAGGTTAGGGAAAAGCTTAGTATGGATGAAGAAGGTCTGTGAGAAGGTGGGGTGAGTGACTGAGGAAACAGAGCTTCAAGAAGGGATCAGAGCTGCCTTTTTCTTTCATGTCACCAGAAAACTGGATTAAAGACTACAGGTTTGGGCCTCAGTTGAAGGAGAAAGCTTTGGAAGAGGTAGAAAACACAGGAACCAAGGAGCTGCCATGGTCCTGCTGCCAGCATAAGACATTAAGAGCAGGGGAGCTCACTTGCTGCTGGAGACAAAGAAGGAGACAGCAGAAAAGGCCTGGGGAACTCGACAGCAGGCCCTGGCAAAAGCAAGGGATTAGCATGAGGACAAGGTTGCTAGAGTACTGGAATTCCTGTTCACTGTTGCGGGCAAACTGTATGACTCCTATGTACCTCAGTTTCCTCATCTGTAAATGGAGGTAATCTAGGCAGTGGTGCTCTCATAATATACATGAATGACTGAGACTCGTAAATTACATCTATGCCAGATGCCAAATGTTAAATTCTTACTACAAAATGCTACTAGCCATGCATTTCAATTTAAATCTCACAAAACCCTCAGGACTTGGGGCAGGAAAGGATATTTTTCCTCCTTTACAAACGAGGAGATGAAAGATTAGAGGAAGTAAGGTGCCCAAGAGCAAACTGCTAACTAGCCCTCGACAGAGGTGATGAGACCTCTACAATGAGAGAGAACCAGTGCCTTTTCGTACATCAAACTGCTTTGTATCAGCAACCAATGTGAGGAACTTTAATTTAGTGTGGAGTCAGATGGAGCTTGGATGCAACTATAACATGGAGAAAAACCCATAAAAGTTGTGCCACGGTTTTCATTCATTCTGGAGATCAAAAAAGAACAGTTGTGGCTATAGGCTTGGAAAGATATGGATATCCTTTATTCTGTCTGCTAGGGAACAATGTCTCTCTGTTCTCACTGAGGGCATGTCTGTGGCAGGCAATTAGAGTATGTGTCTGTAGCCCTGTATGACAGAATGTGTCTTTCTTCATGTGACTGTATGCATGTCTCTGACACCATAGGGAGACGTGGTACCTGCTTCTACAGCACTGTTTATGAAAGTGACAACCTCTCTGTTTCTCTGTATGATTTTGCCTGGAGTAGTGCTGGTGGTGCATGGCTGTGTATGTTTGTCTATCTGTCTGTACACCTTTAAGAAGTGGAACATCTCATTTGGTAGTGTGAGTGAGGCAGTGAGTCAGCTGAGGCTGAGCGAGGTGGGAGGAGACTGCTAGGTTACGAGAATAGGAAAAGGGAGAAGGAGAAAGTGAAGTCAGGATCAAGGAGCTACTCCTTCCCTCCCCAGTCCTCCACCCAAATCCCTAAGGGGCCCACAGAGAACAGCAGAACCTTTCAGGAGTCCACAGGAGCCATGATTGCCGGAAAGGCTTGCTACCCCTTCTCAAAGCCTTGAAAGGAGATGAACTAGCCTAGGAGGCAACTGCCTTACCTTCAGCTGCTGACCCCCAGCTCCAGGCTATGTGAGACCCACCTGGTCACATTGTCACTTGACCCTTTTGACCTTGCTGTTCTCTTTCTTCCCCAAAGCAGGCCACCTGGCCAGGCAGGGAAAACAGGGAAGCAGCCTCAGGCCCCAAATGTGCATAGTCCCACCTACCTACTATACAGAAAAACCCCTCTGAGGGTCAAGAAATTTCTCAACATCCAGTTCTTCCCCAGGAAAGTCCCTTTTGCAGTTGTCTACCCTCCGGTTTCCTCTAGATGCTCATCCCTAGCAGCCAGAAAGCCAGATTTTCCTGTCGCCACCCAGGAGCACTAGGAGTTTTGTGATGCACCATCCTTCCATGGCCCTTCCACAAGCTGCTGATAACTCCTGTTCCCCCAGCATTCTCTCATCAGAAGACAGAAGCCTACAGGTCCCCTGTTAAGAGAAGACAGGCATCCCTGGGCTCCCTTGCCTAGGATCTGGCCAGATATCTCAGGTCATATAAGGTCAACAGCGTGCTATACCCTGTCACCAGGCATGGCCTGGCTTCTCATCCATTGGCAGGAACCAAAGGGTGAGGATTAGGTAGTCAAATATTCTTCCTCCTGCTGAGCACCCCGCTCCTCCACAGCCACTCCCAGGATTAATTCTAGTCCAGGTGTGGGGTTCAGGGCCAACCAGGGTGTTGGAGACTGGAGAGCACAATCTCTCCGCTACCACTTTGCCAATCCAGGGCCTCACTCCCCCCGCACCTCCCCACAGGCAGGAAGCCGCGTGGCTCCAGCCTTAAAAATGTTCAAACCTTAAATTCAAAGAAGTTGACCTGAATCCCATCGGGTCCCTCTCTAGGGTGGGGTTCGGGGTGACCCTTAACAGTGCTACACTGGGAATGGAGGGAGTGGGGCGGTGGACAGAGAGGGAGACCTTTATTTTTCCTGGTCCCACTGCCTCAGAAGCTGCCTCTGGCCAGGCAGCTATTGTGGCACGGGTCACCCCAATCCCTACCTTGCAGCCTTTCGTGCAGGACCGGATAGAGTACTCTTCTGCCTGTAAGTATTTATGCAGTACGAGGTCGAACTCGTCATATTTTTCCTGAGCATGTCGGTCCAGTCGCTGGTACGCCTCTATGCAGTTGCTACAAGCCTCCCAGGTCCCGGAGCCTGGGCTGGCCACTACAGCCAGCAGGTCTCCCAGCAGGGTGTCCAGACTGCAGTCCAGGCTGTCTGGGCGGTCCATGCCAAGCAGCAAGTCCCAGACCGTGTAGGTGTCGCAAAAGGAAAGAGTGAAGTTCCGAAAGTGGCCTTTAAGCAAGTTTTTTTTGGCGGAGGGGAACTCGGCCGGGGTACGGGAAGGGGAGTCAGGGGGCCGCAGAGGGGGAGCCGGGGTGGTCGGTTCAAAAAGTCTCTGCAAAGATTCCAATTTGGTGCAAGCTGCGTCCAGCCCCGTGGGCTCTGGGACGCCGCCGCAGACCGGCCCGGGGCCGGCGGCGGGGGCGGCTTTGGTCAGGTTGCTGTATCGCGGGCCGCAGGTGCCCGAGGACGCACTGGACTCGCCGGGCGACGGCGGCGGCAGACGCAGCGCCGCGCGAGGAGGCACCGGCTGCCGGTCGCGGCCGGCCCCCCAGGGCGGCCGCATGGAGCTGCTCAGCTCCCTGGCCCGGGGCCGGGCCCCCGCACACAGCCACAGATGGTCAGCGAGCAGCACGGTGAAGAAGAGCAGGGACGCCAGGGACAGTCGCCATCGCTGCGCCCGCTCAGAATCGGCGCAAGGTTTGTCGCTCGGCCTGGGAGCCCAGCAGCAGCAGCAGCAGCAGATAGTCAGCGCGGCGGCGTCTTTCCCGGGCCACATCCAAGCGCCCCTGAACATATTTCAGGGGGGTCCGGGCTGGAGGGAGTAGGCAGGCGCGAGGCCGGACGGCCGTCTCAGGAGGGCGGGCTGCGCACCGCTCCGCGCTCCTCAGCGCCGTCCAGGCTCTACCTCGGGGGCTGCATGGCCAGACAGGCCAGCCGGCCCGGGGCCCCGCTCAGGCCAGAGTCGCGGGGCGCTCTCGGGCCGTCCCTGCGCCCCTCCCGCGCTCCCTCGCTGGCAGCCCGGGCGCCGCCGCCCGGCCCGCTAGGCGCAGCCCGGCGTCCCGGCGGGGGGCGGTGCGGGGCACTGGGGCGGTGGCGGCTGCGGCGGCGGCGCCGCACTCCTCATAGTGTCGGGCCCCTCAGCTGCCCTGGGCTCCGCGCCACTTCACTCCGTGCCCCCGGCCCCCAGGCTCGCACTCCGTTCCGGCCGTCTCGGCTGAGCGCGGCTCTGCGCCCCTCAGCGCCGCCGTGCGGGCCCCGCCGCGCTCCGCTCAGCTCCACTCCGCTCCCCTCGCCCGCGCCGCTCCTCTCCCGCCCGTCTGCCCGCTCGCCCGCTCGCCCGCTCCGCGCAGCTCCCTGCCTCTCTCGCGCTCTCCTAGGCCGGCCAGCCGCGGACCGGCCGGCCCTTCGGGTTTCGCTCGTGCGCTGGCCGTCCGCCGGGGCCGGTCCCGGGCCGGCTCTGCTCTGGCTCCGCACCCGCGGCTCCCGGAGTTCCGGCTCGGGCGGGCCACCTGGCTCCCCGCAGCGCCACAGACGCCGGACGCGGACGCCCGGCTTTACTTAGTGCGCCTCTCGCTTCCGCCTCTGGTTCGCACCGCTGTGGCGGCCGCCCAAAGGCATGGCCCCCTGCCTCCCGCTGGCCATGCCCCCTCAGTCTGTCGCCATCTTCCGCTGTGCGGAGAACACCTTGAGAGCCCGTGTGCGAGTGTGTTTGGGGGGGAGCAGGGCGGAGAAAGAGGCACCGGGAGGAGGAGGGAACGGGACTGGGGCCCCGACTGCGCCTGCGCCTCAGGACTCCCCCCTCCCCAACCCCAGCCCCCGCCGGCCGCAGCCTGTGCTGTTTGGGGATGTTTCCAGTCCACCCCCAACTCCATTCACTTCGGCGCCTCCGTTCATCCGACCGCTCCCCGCGTGCACACGCCACACGCTGAGTCCCAGGCCTGGCACTCCCCTTCCCCCCACCAAGCCGGCGCCCGCCTCCCTCCCCAGGACCGCCCCTTGCTCCCCCTGAGGGCTAGGGGACTTCTGAGGGTGATTCTAAGAAGCAGGGGGCTTCTCCTTAGGTTCTTGCTGTCTGTCTGGGTAACGTTGCCCTCGTCCTCAAGACTAGGGGACACTGAAGCCGGTCGCTGATCGGTGGGTCCGGAGTCCCTAACTCCGCTGACGCCCTCACTGTCCTGCCTGAGGCCAAGGCTGCCCTGGTGCTGAAGGACAGCTCCCAGCTTAGCGGCCAAAGAGTACTGAGCTAGGAGTGTGTCCTGAAGGAGGCAAGGCAGTGGTAGTAGTGGTGGGGTGTCGGTTTTTTTTTTCTTTTCTTTTTTTTTTTTTTTTTTTTTTTTTTTTTTGCCCTTAGGAAGATTTCCAGCAGCCTCCCCCAAAACCCCGTCCTAGCTTCATGGCTCCCCCTACAGGCTGCTGAGAATAGCTGAGCGCCAGAGTTAGGGAAGCTGCGCTGGGTGGAACCATGTGCTCTGGGCTCTTAGAGTCACATGGCTCTAGGAACTCGGACATAGGAATGTCCTGCCGCGCTACTAACCTTGTTTGGACTTCACAAAAATCTCAGATCTCCTGTGGTCAGCTTCCTTTTTTCATTCCCTTTCCGCTGTAACTCTTTTGTAGTTTTGAAGGGATCATTGCAACAGAGATTTGTTACTAGTCATAACAATGGAGCAAAGAGCCTTTACTGAACAGCATACAACTTGCTAGATACTGCACTTGACACTTTAACTTGCTTTATTTTTCTAATCTTAACAATCGTATGAGATGGATGTTAGCGTCGTCTTCATTTGCATAAGAGGAAGCTGAAGGTTAGTGTCCTTAAACCGCCTAAGATAACCAGTGCATCATAGGCAGAAACCCAGGGAGTCTGGCCCTAGACCTCTCTACTTCTCTAAGAAGGCCATAGAAAGATGGAGGGGTAGAAAGACCCAGACCGGCAGCAAATGGCAATTCTCCAAACAAGAAAATGAAGACTGACATTTTGGCAAGTGGAATTCATGGACAGAGCTGGGTTCAAGTAATACTTCTGAAACTGACCGTGCTTTGTCCTCATCTTGGTAACATGAGGACATGCCAAGGACTAAATGAGATAGGTGGGAATTGTTAACACTGCTCAGAGGCAAACTGCAAAGCATGCTTGGAAATCCTGAGTGAAGGTTGGGGGTGGAGCTGGTTGCTAAATAACTAGCTGAATTGGGTTGGTGGGTGAGAAGGACATTTCAGAGAAAAGAAATGAGAGAGATAAAAGAAATTCCAAGTGTGTGAGTGTGATAGTTTCGACTTTAGAGACAAAGTAAAACAAGGTATGGCAAAATAAAAAAGAAGATGTGGACATTCAGGAGACCTATTTATTCGTTCTATTTAAGCACTTACTGGACCTATGTAGGATGCTGTAATAGTTCAGACACAGCCTTACTATGGAAGTGCTTGCAATTGAATTGGGGAAGTAGACATGTTAAAGAAGGGGTTACAAGCAAATACTAAGGAATGGCATCAATGAGAAGTCTCCCTTCCATAGACAGATGGACTAGTCAACTCTGAAAATTTTCCTCAGAGGCGATTTTGCCATAGCCAGGTCAGCTGGCAAACATCTACAGAGAATTAGTAAATTCCATGTGCTGTACTAGATACCAATGATATAGTTGCAAGTATAATGTGAGTCTTGTGATGCAAAGAGGTTAGTTGAAGTAGTGAGGGATAAGTGGGTTTTGGCTAAATAGAAAGTAGAGAAAGTGATTATGAAGGTTATCCCAGGAGAAGGGAAGATATGACATGTATAAGGGTGTAGACACAAACATAGGAAAGACATATTTAGAAACCTACAAAGTAGTTTGCTGTGGTTAGGCATAAAGTGGGAATACTACCAAAATAGAGGTTGAGCGTTTTAAAGAAATCTAATTATGAGGGCACTGGACTTTATCCTAACCAAGGGTACCTGAAGCCACAGAAGAGGCTGGAAGGTTTTTGAGAGGAGATACCATGACCAGATTTGTATTTTCAAAGGGTTGATTTAGCTGAGGCAAGGAGACTGCATTGGAGGGGCAAGACTGGGGGCAGGGAGATAAATTAGGGGACTGTTTAGGAGTCCCAGTGAAGGGTATTGAGGACTGATCAAGGCAGCATCAGCTCCAGTAGGGGAAGAAATGCTCGTGGGTGGAGAATGAGAGAGGTCTAATTGAAGAGATCCAGGACTATTTAGATGTGAGGAATGGAAACAAGTTCTGTGAAGAAGGAAGGTGAAACTAAAGAGTTCTATTACTGACACCAGCAGACCTGCTCCTGTCCACCTAGGAACTGCCTTTGGGGAGCCACTCTTGGTTTAGTCTTTGGGGGGATTTGGTGTTGTGTTTAACATGGAATATTAATGGCTACAGATGACTAGTTTAGGGCTGATTGGCAGACCCACAGTGATTGACACCCTCTCTTGTCAATTGAACAAACAGCTGACCTGCCTTGGGCTGTGAGCTCTGAGCACCTCTGTGAGAAGTCATTCAGGCAAGACTCCCTCTGTCCCTGAACACAAGGAGAAAAGTGTCTCACAGAGGTCCATTTATCATAGGAGCACAAGATCACAATGGTTTACTCACACAACACCTGGCCAACACAAAGGAGAAATAGGAGGATCTCATTCTCTCACTCTAGTTTACACTGGAAAGTGGAATGGGGGTGGGGAAAACATTGGCCTCTGCTGGAGCAAAGAAGCCAAGGCCAGGAGTGGGATTTGAGCACACCATTCCCTGCAACTGATAGGCTCCAGTCAGCCTTCTATCCTGGCTATTGCTGTCTATATCCATCCTAAGCAGAGACCAGAAGCTGAAGGGTGGCCCTGCCTGAGGGGACACAAGCTACCCAGGAAGAGCACCTGCACACTGGACATGGGAGAATACAACTTGGAGCAGGGGGGAGGAGGGAAAGATTTCCATAGTGAAATACTTACAATAGAAAGAAGAAGTGGGAATTGTTTAAAAAGACAAGTGTCAATACACTGGAGGCTGTCTGTTAAAGCTGGAACTTAGAAAAGTCATGAGCCCAAAGCAGGAAAGATGTGCATGCAATGAAGGGTGAATCTAAGAAGTGTCAAGGTGGCTAAAGCACAGCTCAAGTTAAGCTTGTCAGGTTCTGTCTGTATCACGTTGCAGGGCACCTTCTTCCTCCATGGTCCGAGGAAGTTTTCTTCTTTGTATACCCCATACCTATACTAAGATGGGAAGGCTTAAAGTAAACTCCCAACCTGGAATGCAGCATCAGCTTGCCTTTTTGCTGCTGGTCTGAGTTTGGTCTCCAGATTCCTGCTCCTCTGTCTCATTCCCCATTTCTTCTGATTCCTAGCATTCTGTCTCACATCCTATACCCAAGTCCCAGCTTCACCCTTATTCTTTAGCAAGAACCAGGCCTGGTGGTGCTCTTTTCCTCTGTAATCTAGGGAGGAAGTACTGAGCTAAACATGAACCTTAACTCCATCACAGACACCTCCTGACAGGACTAGTAGCCTATGTGTGTTTCTAAATAGCCCCTTCTTTTGATTTCTAGAGGCCAGTTTGGCCTTCATTTGGATCCTTAGTTTGCTCCAGTTAGAAATGTCTTTGGCCACAAATCATGAACAAATCTACTGTTGTAGCTTAAACAGATAAAGATTTATTTGCTTCATTTAACAAAATTTCCTTGATCCAGGGCTACTTTGGCAGTTCAGTGGCATCCTTGACACAAGGGCTTTTGTCCAGTGTATTGGTGCATTCCTATTGTCCCATTAACTTGAGAGGATGAGCCAGGGGGATAATGCAATGGAAGCCTGAACAG